TTGCAGGTTATATTCCATTATAGGTTATTACTCATTAAAATAATGAGTATGGTTTCCTGTGCTATACAGTAAATCCTCGCTGCTTAACTGTTTTATGTATAGTGGATTGTATCTGTTAATCTCATACCCATAATTTGTCCCTCCTTTCTTTTCCACTTTGGCAACCATAAGTTTGTTTTCTATGCGTGTGAGTAATATTTATGGTTTTGCAAACACTCAATATTCGTTTATCCATATTTTTGGATATTCAGATGATTCTCCTGGCATACCCCACCCCATCATTGTCTGTCTGGTAATTGCTCCCATGGTCTCCCATGGTAATTGCTCCCTGGTAATTGCTCAGACCATCTCTTCTATGAAGCCTTCCTTGACTCCTGTTTGTAATAACTTGTTCTATATACAATATTGTCAGCATTTATCATACACTATTGTAGTTATTTATTCACATATTTACCTTAATTACTGGAATTTGAGCTTCTTGATGATAGAGGTTATATCTTAGTTATTTCTTCAGAACTTAGCATTGTCTGAGATGAATTTGAGCTTCCCTGGTAGCTCAGACAGTAAAGCATCTGCCTGCAGTGCAGGAGACCTGGGTTGATCCCTGGGTCGGGAAGATCCCCTGGAGAAGGAAATGGCAGCCTATTCCAGTACTCTTGCCTGGAAAATACCATGGATGGAAGAGCCTGGCAGGCTACAGTCCATGAGATCACAAAGAGTTGGACATGACTGAGCAACTTCACTGGTTCACTGGAGATGAACTTGGGGGCCAGTATATATGTTTTAAATTTATTTGTCCCCTGATATTTACACAGCACACTGTACTCAATCTTTGATGAAAAAAGAGATACAGAGGTAACAGACATGTGTACATGAATACTGTTCCATACTATTAAATAGTCTGCATTTTAATGGTTGTTAAATTTTACATTATAAGGATACACTATTATTTAACTAGTACCTGTTGTTACATATTAGTTAATGTTTCTAGCTTTTTGCTTTTTTAAATTGTGCTTCAGTGAGCCCCAATGTAGGTAAATTTTAGGATATATGCATGGTTATTGGACATAGATAAAATTCTTAGAAGTTAAACTGCTAAATTAGGAGTAATATTTGTTTTAAAGGCTTTTGACTTATGGTTCTTTCCAAGTAAGTTGCCCTAATTATATTTTCACCACCAATTCACTGTTGTTGTTCAGTCACTAAGTTGTATCCTACTCTTTGCGACCCCATGAACTGCAGCATGCCAGGCTTCCCTGTCCTTCACTATCTCCCGGAGTTTGCTCAAACCCCTATCCATTGAATCAATGGTACCATTCAACCATCTCATCCTCTGTCATCCTCTTCTCCTCCTGCCTTCAAACTCTCCCAGCATCAGGGTCTTTTCCAGTGAGTCAGTTTTTCACATCAGGTGGTGAAAGTATTGGAGCTTCAGCTTCAGCATTAGTTCTTCCAATAAATATTTAGGGTTGATTTCCTTTAGGATTGACTGGTTTTATCTCCTTGCCGTCCAAAGGACTCTCTCAAAAGTCTTCTCCAGCATCACAATTCAAAAGCATCAATTCTTTGGTGCTCAGCCTTCTTTATGGTCCAACTCTCACATCCATACAATTCATTAGGTGATCATTTTTCTGCACCTGAAATCATCATCACTACCACCATTATCATTGTTATCATTCCTTGCTCTAAGTTATAGATGAAAATAGTATTTCCCTTGTTTAATTTACATTCTTATCATTATTGAGGTTGAGTTTTTTTAAAAATGTTTATAAACAATTTGTACTTCATTTCTTAAGTTGCCTATTTGTGTCTTTTGATCATTTTTTGTCAGATTATTTTTTCCTTTAATACCCCAATTGTTTTTCTAAAAGGAGAATAAGAGGTATACTACAGTAGTGTTTATGAGAATACTTTGCTTCTGTTGATAGTGAATTTAATAGCATCGAATAATATTTATATGTATAACTTAAAAGTAATTATAGTAGAAGGTTGTGCTTGTGTTTAATGACCAAATTGCTAATTTTCATAAATTTCTATGAAAATCTTGCAATCTTTATGTGAAATATTTGCAAGTAGACTAAGTAAGGGCTTCCCTGGTAGCTCAGACGGTAAAGTGTCTGCCTACAATGTGGGAGACCCAGATTTGATCCCTGGGTTGGGAAGATCCCCTGGAGAAAGAAATGGCAACCCACTCCAGTATTCTTGCCTGGAAAATCCCATGGACTGAGGATCCTGGTAGGCTACAGTCCATGGGGTCTCAAAGAGTCGGACACAACTGAGTGACTTCACTTCACTTCACTTCAAGTAAGGTAAAGAAAACGTCTGTCCCTAAACAGAATGGAACTAGCTGGAAGCAGTTTTACCAGAACCTTTTTTGGGGAAGTCATTTTTAAGAAATATTTTAAACACACAAATATGCTATCTTAAACAATAGCTGTTTAAAGATATAGGCCTGTGCAAACATCACACCATCCACTTTTAGAACATTTCCATTACTTCTAAAAGTTTTCTCTAGCTTGTTTGTGGTTAATCCCCATTCCTACTCTGAACCCTAAGCAGCTACTTATTTACTTTCTGTCTTTATTGATTTGCCTTTTCTGGAGAGTTTAATTAAATGGAATCATATTATATGTGGCCTTTTCTGTCTGACCTAATGTTTTCCAGGTTCATCTGTGTTGTAACATATATCTGTATTGTATTGCTCTTCATTGCTGTGTAGTATTCCAGTGTATGTACATATCATATCTTGTTTGTCCATTCATCAGTTGTTTGACATTTGTGTTTTGTCTTCCAAATATAATTTTAGCTCTTAGATTTAACCAGTAGTCTACCTTGTTCATAGTTAGAGGTAGGAATTCAACTTCATTTCCATGTAGACATGCAGTTGTCCTTGTATTATCTGTTGAAGAGTATGCTTCCCCTATTGAATTATCTTGGCACCTTTGTTAAAAATGAATTGACCATAAATATAAGATTTTTTCTGGACATTTATTTCTGTTCTGTTGATCTCTGTGGCTATCCTATGATAATACCATACTGTCTTGATTACTGTAGCTTTGTAATAAGTTTTAAAACTGGGTGATATAATTCCTGCAATTTATTATTCTATTTCAGATTATTTTAGCTGTTTTGGGTCCTTTGTCTTTTCATGTAAATTTTACAGCTTGTTTATTTCTTAAAAAAATAGCCCACTTTAATTTTCATAGGCATTGCATTGATTTTGTAGATCAATTTGTGGAGAATTGACATCTTAAAACTATTGAGTCTTTCAGTCCATGAACATGGAATATCTTTTCATTTTTTTTAGATCTTCTTAGTTTCTCTTAGCAGTGATTTATAGTTTTTAGTGTACAAGTCTTATAGTTCATTTGCTGTTTATTCCTAAATTTATCTTTAGTTTATTTATTCCTGGGTGTTTTAATTCCTTTTTATGCTCTTGTGAATGGAGTTGTTTTATTAATTTCAATTTCACATTGTTCAGTACAGTTCCTTTGTAAATAATGGCAAATGTGTATGGCTTATTTCCCATCAAATTTCAACTATTACTAGCATTTTACTTCTAGTATGGCATATAATTTAATAGTCCTGTAGCAGTAAAAGAATCTGCCTGCAATCCAGGAGGCACAGGAGACTCAGGTTTGATCCCCGGGTTGAAAAGATCCCCTGGAGGAGGAAGCAGCTACCCACTCCATTGTTCTTGCCTGGGAAACCCCATGGACAGAAGAGCCTGGTGGGCTACAGTCTATAGGATCACAAAGAGTTGGACACCACTGTAGTAGCTTAGCATGCACACATGCAGGGACTAATCACTGATGCACAGTTAAGTGCCTAGGTGCAGTTTTTGCCCTTAAAGAATGACACTTCTGAAAAATATGAAGTATGTTAATACAGAAATAGTTTTGAGAATTCAATTTGAAAACAGGACAAAATATTTATGGTAAAGCTCTCTTAATAATGCTGACTTGTGTTTCTCAACATTTCATTGATTTTTAAAAGTGTTTATAAATTTACTCCTTTGCATTTAATATATATCAATCAGCAAATTAAGTAGATTGTGCTTATGTTGACACTTCTGGCCTCAAGTTAATGATTTGTTGTAGTGCCCATTTGTGCTTTTATCACATTGAAAAATGTTATTTAGGGGGAAAAATTGTACCCTGCAGCTTGTTATTTCAACAGAAAGGAGATGTTTTTTCCAGATTATTTTCCTAGCCTTTCAGTAGACAACCATCATTTAAATCACTTGTTCTTAAAAGATGTGATCTTATAGTGCTTGTATGTCACAGGATAAAATGAGATATTATACTTCAAAAACTCTATAACATCTGTTCTTTTCCAATTGGCTGAAGAAAATTATAAAGTATAGTGCTCTACATATTTAGTTTTTCTCTTGTAAAATTTTTCTTAAATTTTTGGGCCCAGTTATTGCTTATCAACCAGTGAGCATTAATGAACACTAAAAAAATGACCACATTTATTTATACACATTAATAGAAAAACTCAGATTATCACACTTACTTCAATAGCTTATTTTTATTACAGAAAGTTATTGTTTTATATTGTAAAACTAATGATATTTTGTGTTGCTGTGCTCTGAGCAAATTTAAGGACCACCAAGTTAAATTAATCATTAGAATGAAATAGAAATATGAAGCTACTCAGTGTACTAATTTGCTTATAGGCAGCAAAGATCTACACATTCAATTTCATGGCACTTTTAGGCTGTAATGAGTAAAAAGCAGTTAACACTTCTCTTCAGCAAAACATAAATATCAGGATAGACCATAATTTCCATGAAAGCTAAGGAGAGAAAATCAAGAACACTTTTATCCAGTAGTTTCCTACCAGATAGACACATGTTTTTCTCTTATTTTAATACTTAACACTATTAAAATTGACATGTAAAGTTTTATCAATCATATGTTGAAGGGAGAATTAAGTTATTATGTTCCTGGGATATTTCTACCTCTGAGTAATGCTGTGTGCCTTTCCCCTTATAGACATGCTGCAGAGGAAGGTAGAAGAGGTAACACTAATTCCAGAGGATCGTCATTGCAAGGAGGAAGAATGCAACGTCAAGATGGCTTTTGATTAAATGACCCTATTTTGAGCATGTTGTTTTTGGATTATACACTACCTTCAAATTTTGAAGGTGTTCATTAGAATAGTATTTACAGCTACTATTCCCTCTTTGGTGACAATAAAGTATGCATGTATTTTTTTTCCACTTAAATATTGTGCTGTTTGAAAATGATTCTATAGTTTGGCTTTTAGTATTAGCAAATCAGAACTTTATCAGCTCTTCTGTCTAGGCAGCAACCTCTTTGATGTTGACGCTGTGTGTATAATTCATGGCTTACTCTCCCAGATTCCATATCTTACTGCCAGTATGCATTGTCCTTTTCACTCTAGCCAGATCATAGATAAATGTTTGCCAAAAAATAGATGCCAGCCAGTCTTTACTGAGTGCTTGTTAACATTCAGCATATAGTGTTAGCTCCTGTGAAGTCTCTCTCCTCAAAGGCACTTACTGTCTCCTTTGAGATACAATTAATTCTTTCTGTATGAAAATAGTATAGACAATACAAGAAAGTGTATTATGAATTACAGAAAGTATGCTATAGAAATTCAGAGAAGTGGGACTTCCCTAGTGATCCTGTGGCTCAGTCTCTGTCCTCCCAGCGCAAGGGGCCCAGGTTTGAACCCTGGTCAGGGAACTAGATCCCACATGCTATAGCTAAGTTCACATGCCAAAGTTCACATGCCACAGTTGAAAGTCCTTGCATGCCACAACTAAAGATCCTGCCTGCTTTAACTAAGACCCAGCTCAGCCAAATAAATAAATAAATAAATAAAAATATTAAAAGAATTTCAGAGAAGGGAGGAAAAGTTCGAGTGGATTTAGGGCTTGAATTAGGCTATTTTTAAAGGGTATGGTTCAGGCAGTTTATTTTTAATGTGCAAATAATCTGGCATTTTACTTGATTTTAGCATGTGATTAATACTTGTGGGGTTTGTGTACTTATTTGTTTTTCAAGAAAAAGCCTTGTTCTTAGCTTCTGATTTCTTGTGTTTCATGTTTTACCTAAGTCATAAATAAAGGCGATGCTCTGAAAAATAAAATAAACTACTTAAAAAGTTTTTGAGTGACTAGTGCTAGTTGCTTGTCATTACTGCGCTGAACTTCTATTGTACTGACTGAACATGACCATCCTGAGGGAGACATATTATGGAAAGAAAATATTTTTGAAATGAGTATTAGTGATTTACATCACGTTATGAGTAAGCCAAATATCAATACTTACATGGCCTCTTTTTTTTTCCTACCCACACTTCTCAAAGTAGCAGCTTCTAATCAGATAATTTTTTATTACCTCTCAAAATTATAGAATATGAAAAAAATTCAGAGGCCATTTAATTTTATGGATGATTTCTGTAGGTAAACAGCTTTTGAGTATAATCTTGAGTAATCTTTAATGTTTGAGTACAATATTATCACTACTGTACCCTAGATAAAGACATTTTCTGTATTTTTTTTTTTTTTGCAATTCAACTCTTGTAGTCTGTGAATACGTTGTTTCACATTCAGTAAAGAGAACATAATATATAGAAGAAAACACTGGGTTTATTCTTGTTCCTGCTTAATTAACTGGACAGATAGTTTCATTTGGAGAATTATCTTTGTCTGCAACATAATAGAGTTGGACCATATGAAAGTTTTCCCAACTGGAATAAACTAGTTTCCACTTCTCTCAAGTTTTGTGGTTCCTTATATCTTTTCACTACCAATACATGCTCACTATAAAACTTCCTCAGTAAAATAAAGAGGGGACTATAGTTTTCCTGTTGACCTTGCATTAAGAGGTCTAATATTTTTTTTTCCAGGACATAAAAGAGGCAAGTGAATGGCAAGTGACTTCTAGATCAATGCAGTTACACTGTAAGTTTACTGGTGGATCTCTGTACTGTTTGGAGCCTTAGACTAAATTGTCTTTAAGGTTACTTCTGACTGTGGTTCTAACATGTATCTAAAAGACGTGGCTTCCCTGATAGCTCCGTTGGTAAAGAATCTGCCTGCAGTGCAGGAGACCCCAATTCGATTCCTGGGTCAGGAAGATCCGCTGGAGAAGGGATAGGCTACCCACTCCAGTATTCTTGGGCTTCCCTGTGGCTCAGCTGGTAAAGAATCTGCCTGCAATGCAGGAGACCTGGATTCGATCCCTGGGTTGGAAAGATCCCTTGGAGAAGGGAAAGGCTACCCTACCCACTCCAGTATTCTGGCTTAGAGAATTCCATGGACTATATAGTCCATGGGGTTGCAAAGAGTCAGACATGACTGAGTGACTTATAGTTTCACTTTTTCACTGACTGTGGTTCTAATGTGTCTAAAAGATGTGACATTGTTGAGCAGACATGAATTACAAGATCAGAAATAACCTATTCATGCCAGTAATTTTAAGTCTACATTTTTGTTAGGTACTGGATTCTTGAGACCCCTCCACCCCCCAACCCCCCATTGTTAAAGACCAGCTGTATTAGCTGAAGGAGAATTCTTAAATTTGTCATGCTGACACTTTCCCAGTGCTTGTCTACTTTTTTTTGTCCTTTGAAAAAGATGCTATATTTGTTCTCTCTATAATAGCATTTATGCTATCTAATTTGGAGAATTTGAAAGACATGCACAATTGTTTACTCTTAATATTAGATGAGTGATGTTCTCCCTCTTCAAGAGAAGGTTTTTGGTTTTAGCATCCTCTTTTATATCTGGAAATTATAATTGCTTCATAATATATTCATCAAAAGTGTGTTGTGAACAAAGCACCTAAAAAGGACAAAGCCTGAAAATATGTCTATGTTAAGGAGGAACTTCTAGCTTAATTAAACTAACCTTGTTAAATTGTCAGAAAGACAAATGAGGCATATTTTTCAGCTTGTCATAAATTCTTCTGGGGTGAATTTGTGAAATTACCTCATGATAAGATCTCTGTGCCCATGGATAACATCTAGAAATCTCAAAGCTTTTTATGTACTGTCCGATAGCCTTATGAATTGGGGAGAAGATGCTGTGGGAAATGGAATAGCTATTATTCCACAGTTAATAAATTTGGCAGAGCTAGAAAAATAGCCCAGTTTTCTTTCTAGTGCAATTTTATAAATGTTTGTCCCTTGGTACCTACCACTAAACTGGCTACAATTATACACAAGTACATAGAGCACTTCCTTATGACCTTGCTTTCTAGTAATTCCACCCCGTATATGTCTTTTTAGCCATTCATTCTCCACTCATCCCACCTAGTGGATTTGTAATGTAGTGTGTATCACTCAGTACCAATAGGATATATGTTTTATTAGAAGTTGCATACAAGTCTGGTGTGGTGGTCAGTATAGTATTTGTTCCACCCTTTGCCACCTTCCCAGGGGAAAAACACACTAGCAACCTTGGTGTATTTTTCCATTTCGTCATTTATCACTGTGTCAACTGGACAGTTTGGTTGAGCAGCAGATTTCAGCACAACCACCAAACAGAATTTACCTGGTGTGGACTATGATATAACCCACACTGTTTTTGCTTAGATTCTGACTCTGTTCTGTGCCAAAGCCACAAAAGGGCATGTTAGAGCTGTATCCATTCACCTGTGTGCTTTAGAAGCACAGTTGTTTGCATATACCATGTTTTGCTTGGTGGATCAGACAGCAGTAAAGAATCTGCCTGTAATGCAGGAGACCGGGATTTGATCCCTGGGACAAGAATATCCCCTGGAGAAGGGAATGGCTACCCACTCCAGTATTCTTACTTGAAGAATCCCATGGATATAGGAGCCTGGCTGGCTACAGTCCATGGGGTCACAAAGAGTTGGACATGACTGAGCGACTAATACACAAGGCCAGGTTTTGGATAACTCTAGTACTTGCCATGGCAGTCTCATCTTTTAGAAATTCTCAGGATAGGAAGTATGTCTTCCTTTTTTACAAGGTATTCTACTGCATATACAAGCAAACACACACAAGATAGGTTGCCTAGTACAGAATTCTGTATTCCTCCACTTAGTTTTAGTGTTTACATCATATATAACTGGTATATTTGTCACAGCTAATGAACCTTACTATTAACTAAGGTGCATACTTTGTGCATATTTCCTTATTTTTTATTTAGGGCTCTTTTTCTGTTCCAGAATCCCATCCAGGATACCACATTACATTTAGTTATCATGTCCCTTTGATTCCTTTAGCTGTGACAAGGACTTTTAATGGTTTGGTGACCTCAACAATTTGGAGGTGTAGAAGTCAGGTATTTTATAGTCCATGTACTTTGAAATTTACAAGACACTTATGAGTGAGATTAAACGTTTTTCTTTTCATATACTTAAGGACATAGTGGAGAAGGAAATGGCAACCCACTCCAGTATTCTTGCCTGGAAAATCCCACGGAGAGGAGCCTGGCAGGGTACAGTCCAAAGTGCAAGAATTTGACATGACTCAGCAGCTAAACCACCACCGCCAAGGATATATGTATTTCCATTTCTAGAAACTAGGAGCCCATTATCTTAACTAGTATGCTCTCTCAGTCTCTTGAGTCATCTTAATTATCAATAAAAACATTCATGGGCTTGAATATATGTGGTTGTCTGATTGTCAGGAAGTACAATGTCTTGTAAGCCTCTGTTAGAGATAGAGGAGAACCATTGGTGCTAGAGATGTGGTCACTCTCTGATCTCTCTGGCTACACTGCAGAGGGTGGACCAGAGATTCGACTGGAAATAGCAAGTCGGCAGGATGTGGGATAAGAAGTCCTTGAAAGCAGAAGCAGGGTAGGGACACATTCAAGGAAAATTAGAAGGGCCAAGATCTGGTGATACTGGATGAGAGAGTTAAGAAGTCAGAGGCGACTCCTAGGTTTATGAGCTGGATATTTTGGGTGTTATAGTTAACCTATACGAGAAATCCAAGAGAACTATTCGGGCAATTTACAATATACCGTTTGCTCAGTACGGGCTTTCGATTTGTAGCTCCGCAAGACTACAATTCCCAGAGCACCGCACTCCACCACAATCCCCTTCGAGTCGGCCGCGCAGAGTTCTGGGACTTGAAGTCCGCGGCCTGCTTTACCCAAGTTAGATCTAGGGGCCTGTGGAAACATGAAGAGGTAAGGGATTGTCTGAGAACAGACGGCGAAGGGCGCTCTGCTTTACCTTTTGACTTTTCAAATGGCTTTTGTTACTTTGGGTTTGGGGTATGTCACGTTCTGGGGATAGGGTTTCGTGTGACCGGGAAGAAAGAGGAGGAGGGAAAAGGCGAGACGGGCTGGACAGGCCTGTAGGGCGAAGTTCAGGAAGGGCCGCCGCCGCTGCCGGTCCCTGTAGGGATGCCCTCCTGGCACAGGCACCTAGGCAACGGTGCTGGCCCCGGGACAGATCCTCTGGCTCCTTCCTGTTTCAGACCGACCCACTCAGGTAAAAGGGTCTTGACCGATTGATGAAACCAGTCTGTGCCATAGAAACCTGGGCCAGATCCTTCCTGTCCCGCCGGACCTCCTCTTCATCCTCAGAAATGGGCTCAGGGTGGGCGCGTTTATGTGCAGTGTTTATGTTTATAGCGGACTTTTTCAGGCTGAGAGACCGTGTAGTACTTTCAGACCTGAAAGTAAGCAAGTGATACTTTGTTTCTACAAATTTGGAAGCAAAGTACCAAACCCGTATCCATCTATTGTAAGAAAAGAAAGGCACCGCTGCGAGCAGTTCCCCCTACCGGTTCTGCAGGAAATGGCAGCTTTAACGTGGCTGATCTTTGTTGAAAGCCTGCGCTTGCAATCGACTACTGACGGTACACGAAACCTTTTTTAAGGCTCCTTATCAAATTAGCTTTGTATTCATTCTGCAAGTAGAATAATCACTGGAATAGGGCGATGCATTTAAATTCTTACAGGTACGATGTTCTCCTGCACCGTTAGTTTCTGCATCTTTTTAAAAAATGTAGTTTCTAATTTTCCCTGCTTCAAAATGCCTTTTAAAAATTGTTTATAATATCTCTTATACATGCAAAATTATGAATATAATAGAGTCGTCGTCACTGCAATAGAACATTATCACTATCAGAAGTCTGCTTGTGTGCTCCTGAGTGTTTCTCTTCCCTCCCCAAGAGGATCACTATCCAGTATTTTGCCTTAATCATTTCTTTGCTTTTTTCTTTTTAAATAGTTTTGCCACATATGAATTTATATCTAAACAAAATGTCGCTAGTGTTATTCCATTTTCAACTCTATATAGACGTATTGTATGAATTTTTCTGGCGCTATTTTCACTCTACATTTCTTTTTGAAATTTATGCATACTGATGTATTTAGCTATGATTTATTCATTTCAAAGCCACCTCAAATTTAGCAAGAACTTTCAGAATTCTAAATAATGAGGAAATATTAAGATACTTGAAAGGAATTTTTTTAAAACCCTGGGCCTATGTATCTTTTAAAATTTCCCAAAGTTGTTATAAGTGTTTCTAGAGTGTGGGAATTTTCCTTATAATTATGAGAGATACATCTTCTAGGTCTCATCATAACCCCAATAGTAAAGGGCTAAGAGGGGTATTTAGTATTTATTTTCCTCATTGAGTTAACTCACTTTGCTTTTTTCTTTTAAAATCTGTTCTTGCACACTTAAATGGTCCTGCTATTTTTTTTATGCTCAGAGTTCTTCATTATTTAGCATTACCTAGATATCCACACAGTAGTGCTTAAGCTATAAAATGTTATGATCCCCTTCACCTTTGCTTCTATACTCTCTCCTTTGGTGATCTCCTCTCTCACAATTCCAGATCCTGACAATACAGATGACTCAAGATTTCCATGCACAGCCTCAGACTCTCATCTATACAACACTTCTCTCTCTCACTTTCCTTCTAGCCAATATCACCTTCTGTCACCTCAGGCTCAGTATGTCTTTGAAGCATTCCTGATACTTAATGCAGGTATTTCAATTGTAATAGTTAGTTGACTCAACATGGCTAAAATGAGAATGACTTCCCTTTCCCAAACCATTTACTCCATCTGGAACTTCCTCTTTAGTTCATTGGTCCCATCGCTCAGTTACACAGCTTGAAATTTGGGGTTATTTTTCACTTCTTCCTTACCCCTATGTTCAAAAGGCATTTCTCATTTAAGCCTTCCTTTCCATTGTCGCTATTAGCACTCCACTTTGAACTTTCTTCACCTCACGTTTGATAAATTATATAGTTTCCTAACTAGTTCTTCTGGTTTTGTTCTTACTAATCCATAAAGCTTATTATAACCACATTCATTTTCCTAAACCATCGCTTATACCATGTCACTTAACTGCCTAATAAATTGCCTTCTAATCCCTGTACATTAAGGTTGAGACCATTTAGTTGGTGTATTTAAGGCCGTTCACAGTCTAACTATCCCTCCAACAGGATCTCCCAAGGTTGCCATACATGTATGCCAGATAAATTTCTTATTATCCCCCAGAACATACTTCTGTCCCTTCATGCTCTCTCTCCCTATTCTTTCCTTCATCACACAGAGTCCTTCAAATGCCAGTGTAAGAATTACCTTTCCAAAGTCTTCATTTACTACCTTGCCCCCCAGTTATTTCTTCTGTGAACTCCTACTGGTTTGGTATATGCTTCTTTATATCTTTCTTCTCTTTTTTCTTTCTCTCTCCTCCTCTCTGTCACTCTCTCCCTCTCTCCTGCTCTGCCCTCACCCCCAGGCATCTGCATACAACACATCCATATCTATTACTTTTCCCTAAATAAATTGCAAGCTTCTTAATGAGAGGGACTGTGTCTTGCATATCTTTGACTCCATCAGTACCCAGCAGAGTGCATTCATTGTGTATAAACAAGTACTTAGTTAATGTTTGTGGAATGAGTGATAAACGGCAACAAATAGAGAAGTATCTTTGAACAAATGGGATCCCTAATGGTAGATAATATAGCTAAAGAATATATTTTGAGATTCAGTGTCTCTTCTACTTTCCATATATGTCCTTGTATCTATTCCAGGGTAAATAGCTGTGTCAAGAGTGATGAGCATGTCCTGGAGGAGCTGGAAACAGAAGGGGAGAGGCAGCTGAAAAGCCTCCTTCAGCATCAACTTGATACCTCTGTCTCCATTGAGGAGTAGGTATTGATTTTGAAAAAGAGTATCATAGACCCTCAGCTCCAGGTGACAGATACCTCTTCAAGTCTGGGTGGAAGATTCTCTCTCACCCCCCTTTCCTTGGCAGATTTCTACTGATAAGGCAGGGTTTTACTTCTGTGTCTCTTCTAGGAAGCCTTCCATATCCCACTCTGTCTGGGCTGAGTACCATTCCTGTGTCTTCCTTTAACATTCATAGTACTTATAATCCAGTAGTGTTATTGCCTGCTTACTTGCCTCTCTTCTACAGCTCCTTGCGCGAAGCAGAAACTGTTGTCTTTTTTACTGTTAAATCCTCAGTACCTGGCACAGTATCTGATGCATAGTAAGTACTCAGTAAATAAATATTTGATTCAGTCATTTGTTAGTCCTGGACTACTGGTGGAATTCCATATCATTGTAGTAGTTCTTTAACCTAGAAATCGGATGTAAGAGAGAAATTGCCCCTGAGTTTCATTGTGCCTTCTAATGGCAAGCCCCATTTCTGTGCATTGTGGTAACTTGAAGATGTTCTTACTCTCTTCCTTCTTGTTTTGCAGATGTGTATCTAAGAAAGAGAGCTTTGCTCCTGGTACTATGTATAAGCCCTTTGGGAAGGAAGCAGCTGGGACTATGACTTTGTCCCAGTTCCAGACACTGCATGAGAAGGACCAGGAGACTGCTTCTCTCAGGGAACTGGGGCTTAATGAAACAGAAATCTTGATTTGGAAGAGCCATGTTTCAGGTGAAAAGGTGAGTGGGGCAATTTTTTTTCTGAAGAATAAAATGGACAGTTTCTTCATTTGATACTGAGAACCTTTTCATTTTGCGTTCTCACAACACTGAGCTTTGTGTCTAAATCTTCTTTGGTTTTTAAGGTAAGGACGTTGGTAAAAGAGAAGCTGCTCCTTGACTTGTTTTTTTTTTTTTTAACAAATGGGGTTTAATTTTTTTAATTTTACTTATTTTTGGCTGTACCATGTGGCTTATGGGATCTTAGTTCCCCAACCAGGGATTGAACCTGTACCCTCAGTAGTAAAAGCACAGAGTCCTAACCACTGGACCACCAGGGAATCCCCACTCCTTGACTTCCTAGCTGATGTATATATAAATGACCGTTTTGGGGCCCTGATCATTTTCTTTCGTGTTTAAGGCATCAGATTGTTACTTTCAGGGTGGGTCCTCTGTGATATATGCCGTCTCATTTCTCCAATTTCAGAGGACGAGACTTAGGGCAACCCCTGAAGCAATACAGAACCGTCTTCAAGATATTGAGGAAAGAATCTCAGAGCGTCAGCGCATCCTTTGCCTGCCACAGAGATTTTCAAAGAGCAAACAGCTGACCCGGCGAGAAATGGAAATAGAAAATTCTTTATTTCAGGGAGCTGATCGTCACTCTTTCCTCAAGGCTCTTTATTACCAAGGTATGTGATCACCACTGACTTGATACACTCTTTCACTGGCAGAAAGACTTAACATCAGGACCTTAACTATGAAGAGTTAGTGGAGGGAGTGGGGGAAAGATGAACTATTACTACTCTTGAGGAATGTATATATAGTCCCATGAGAAAGACAAATATGTACCTAGTTAGTTGCAGTACACCCTGGAAATTGCTATTGTAGAGGTGTGAATAAAATGCTGAGGGGACCTAAGACACAGAGCATCTAAGTCTAGTTGGGGGAGTCAGGAGTTTATATTTGTACTTGTACCAAGTCTTGATGGATCAACAGGCATTTGTCAGTAAATAGTGGGAAGAGGGCATTATAGATAGTAGGTGAGTAGGAACAAGATTGTGAGAGAACCTGATATGTCTAGGGAACAGTGAAAAGTTCATTGTGGCAGGATGTGTAGGACATGGTGAGGACTGGCAGAAGATGACACTGGAAAAGGTAGGTGAGGCTAGATTGTGAAGGGTCCTGAGGTGGAACTATAAATTAGCACAAAATATACAGATAAATGTGTGTCTTAGCCAGAAAGAGTGGATTTAACAGAGAAGTTTTGCTAGGCACTGTGGAAGGTATGCAGAAGTTTAAGAAATGACTTCTTGACTTTGTGCCAGTTGGAATCTAGTTGGAGAGAGAAGTGCACAGCATTTAGTAACAAGACTAGATACAGTTGTTAAGTGCTGTAGGAGTTCAGAGAAGGGAAAGGTCACTGTGCATTGATGTGACTAAAGACGGCCTCTCAGAGGAGATAATGTTTAAATATTCTTTTAACACTACCAAGTCTTCAGAAAGGAGAGGGAGGGTCATTTCACTTGTAGCAGATATCATGAACTAAGTCATGTTTGGAGATATTGTGAGAGACAAAGTTAAAAAGATAGCTAAAATTTTTGAACTTTATTTGGCAAGTAGTATAGACCTACATGGAGTTAGTTATTCAGTTAGTCATTTTGGGTATAGTTAAGGTCTTTGAACCAGGAGTAACATGATAAAAGCAGTATCTGAACTTGATGAATCTGGCGGCCAGTAAATCAAATACATGAGCAGGAGAACTGGAAGCAGGGAAAACAGTTTAGGAGTAATCACAGTCATTTCTTCAGGAAGAGCTGCACTAGGATGATGGCAAAGAAACTGGAAAGAGAAGTAGGTATGGTTATAAGAGACATTACAAAAGAACAATTGGTAAAACTTGTTGACTGAGAATGCAGGTCAGTAGAGAGGCCTGTGTCAAAGATAACCCAGGTGTTTCGAGGCTGTGTGACTTAACAGTTGGCAAAATTAAGAAAACCTTTATGGGGAAATTTTGAGGAAAGATGATGAGTTTGATTTTAAACAGGTTAAATTTGTGAGACTGCAGGATCATCCAGTGCAGATACCGAGGAGGCTGTTGGAAATGTAGCAGTGTAGCTCCAGGGAGAGGGCAGAACTAGATTCATAGAATCAGGACTCCTCTATGCTTAGACAATAAAGTCAATAGAATGAGTGAATGGTTTGTTAGAGACAGAGAGACCATAGACATGCAAGAGCAGTGGTGAAGGAAGGAATGAAGAAACAGCTTTTGTGGAGAGACATTATAGCTTGCTGATCAAGAACATGGGCTGTGGAGACAGACTGCTGGGAACATCCTGGCTCCCCCACTTATTATCTAAAGATGTGGGGCAAGTTACAATACTGTGTTTGATTTCCTTCAAGAGAATATTAATAGTAGCTATATTGTAGGGTTGTTAGGATTAAGAGAGGTAATACATGTAAATCACTTAAAGCAGTACCTGGTATTTGGGGTGGGTGGGTAGTGTATGAATCTGTTCTGTTTCCTATCTTTGAAACTCCTTGCTTTACACCTTCACAGCATACCACAAAAAGACAAGTGCAGACAAGTACATGACCTCAATGAAGAGGAAGATAAAATTAGGCACAAAAGGCAAGTCGAGAGTTTTCTTACAGTGTTAGATTTAGGAATGTAACCTAGGGTCCCAGACTTCTAAGTTGAGTTCTTATTTAATTTCATATTCAGTATATGACAATGTTTATAGGACATGATCCACAGGGAACATATTATCCTGATACAGAATATTAAAGAGAGGGGTTAGAAGTTTAAAGCTTTAACATTTAGTGTTGTTGATTTTTTTCTCTATACCTTTTAAGTTATTGTACGAGACATAAAATGACCTTAATGTCTTTTTGATCGTATTTCATAATCCTGAATATTTTTAATCAGTAAAGTATAACTATTGATGATGATATAGTAGCTAATATTTTACTTTATTTTTGAAATGAACTTACAATAAAATTGCCTGTTTATTTGGGGGGAGGTGTGTGTACAATTCTGTGAATTGTAAATCATGTTAATCACAGAGATTCATGTAACCACCACCACAATCAGGATAGAGAACAGCTCCATCACCCTCAAACTCCTTCATACTATCCATTGAAGTCACTCCCAATTCCACCCGTAATCTCTGGCAGTCAATCACTGATCTATTCTCCATCACTGTGATTTTGTCTTTTAGAGAATGTCATACAAATAGAATCATACGAAATGTAATCTTTTGAGAGTGACTTCTTTCATGCAGTGTAGTGCCTTTGAGATTCATCCAAGTTGTATGTATCAATAGTTCATTTTTGCTGAGTAGCATTCTATTGTATGAATGTTTCAAAGTTTGTCTATCCACTCACCCATTCAAGTGCATTTGGGCTGTTTCCAGGTTATGGTGATTATGAATAATACTGATATGAATATTCTTGTACAGGCTTTTGTGTGAACATAAAATTTCTATCTAGGAGTGGGATTACTGGGTCATATGGTAAGTGTTTGTTTAACTTTATAAGAAACTGCCAAACCATTTTCAAGAGTGGCTGAACCATGTTGCATTTTCACCAGCAATGTATGACAGTTCCAATTGCTCTACATCTTTGTCAGCATTTGGTATTGTTGGTATTTATTTTAGTTATTCTAATAGCTGTGAAGTGGTATCTCATTGTAGTTTTAATTTGCATTTCCTTAATGGCTAATGATATTAAACATCTTTTCATATGCTTATGTGCCATCCTTATATCCTATTTGCTGAAGTGTCTGTTCAAATCTTTTGCTGTTTTTCATTGAGTTGTTTATTTTTTCCTGTTGACTTTTGAGAGTTCTTTATATAGTCAAAACACAATTCTCTGTTGGATATATGATTTACAAATATTTTATCCCAGTGTGCAGCTTGTCTTTTCATTCTCTTAACAGTGTCTTCTGCAGAGCAAGCTCTCTTTTATTGTGGTAAAATATACCTAACATAAAATTGACCATTCTAACTATTTTTTAAGTGTACAGTTCTGTGGCGTTAAGTATATTCACATTGTTCAGCCATCATTGCCATCCATCTCCAGAACTTGTTCATCTTCCCAAACTGAAACTCTGTACCCATTAAACACTAACTCCCCATTCTCCCCTTGCCTTATCTTCTACCAAGCACCATTCTGCTCTCTCTCTATGAATTTGAATATTCTAGGTACCTCATGTAAACAGAATCATACAGTTTTTGTCTTTTTGTGTCTGGCTTATTTCACTTAGCATCCATATTGTAGCATGTATCAGGATTTCCTCCCTTTTTAAGGCTAAATAATATTTTATTGTATGTATCTACTACATTTTGTTAATCTATTCATCTGTCAATAGACACTTATGTAGTTTCTGTCTTTTGGCTATTGTGAATAATGCTGCTATGAACATGGATGTGCAACAGTCTGTTCCAGTCCCTGCTTTCATTCTTTTGAATTTGTTAAGTGGAATTGCTGGATTATATGGTAATTCTATGTTTATTCTTTTGAAGAACCACTATACTGTTTGCCATAGAGACTATACTGTTTTAAATTCATGCCAGCAATGTACAAGGATGTCTTTTGCCCGTTTTTAAATGGGTTGTTGTTGTTAAGTTGCAGGAGTTCTTTATGTATTCTGGATATTACTCCCTGTTCAGATATATGATTTGCAAATATTTTCTCCTATTGTATGGGTTGCCTTCTTATTCTGTCAATAGTATCCTTTGATGCACAAAAGTTTTTATTTTTGATAAAGTCAAGTTTGTCTATTTTTTGTTCCCTGTGCTTTTGTTGTTATATCCAGTAAATCTTGCCAAGTCTAATATCATAAACCGTTTTTCCTATGTTATCTTCAAAAAGTTTTATAGATTTGGCTCTTATGTTTAGGTCTTTGATCCATTTTGAGTTAACTTCATATATAAGGGGTCCAACTTCATTTTTTGCATGTTTGATATCCAGCTTTTCCGGTACTACTTGTTGAAATGACTACCTTTCCTCATTGAATGATCTTGGCACACTCTCTGAAAATCATTTGAGTGTAAATGAAAGAGTATATTTCCAGACTCTCCATTCTATTCCATTGGTATATATGTCTGTCTTTATGTTAGTACCACACTTTTTAAACTACTGTAGATTTGTAGTAAACTTTGAAATCAGGAAATATGAGACCTCCAACTTTGCTCTTCTTTTTCAAAATTGTTTTCATTGTTTGAGTTCCTTGAGATTCCATATGAATTTTAGGATAGATTTTTTGATTTCCTTTTTTCTGGCCTTGCCACATGGTTTGTGGGATCTTAGTTCCCTTACCAGGGATCAAATCCAGGCCCACAGCAGTGAAAGCACCGAGTCTTTAACCACTGGACTGCCAGGGAATTCCCAGGTTTTTCTATTTCTGCAAAAAACATCATTGAGATTTTGATAGTATTGCTTTGAATTTGTATATCACTTTGGGTGGTACTGACAACAATTCTGAATCTTCAATCCATGAACACAGAATGTCTTTGTATTTATTCATGTCTTTCAGCAAAATTTTGTAGTTTTCAGTGTGCAAATTTTTTGCTTCAGAGCAAATATTTTAAATTTTGATACAATCCAGTTTATTCATTTTTTTCTTTTATGGATTGTGCTTTTTTATGTCTAAAAACTAACACTAGATTTTATGAAAAAGGATTTATTC